AACAGGACAAAGATAGACTGTCGGTGTTTGAACACCGCTGTCTACGCAGCGTTGCGCGAATCTGGTAGGGCGACCGGACAAGCAGTGCTGAGGTTAGGCTCAGAGTTTGAGGTAATCGTGGTCGTCCACTGGAGCAAGTGGTCGACCTCCATAGATTACGTTGGTTGGGACATGTGCTACGCATGTCACCAGATAGGTTGCCACGACGAGCGATGTTTGCCGAGGCAGGTGGTGTGTGGAAAATGGTTATGGGTGATCAACCCTAGACTTGGCATTAGGGTGTGAAAACCCTAACCAGGATTCTTGTTCACATAGGTCCCGGTAGTCTCCGTGGCTGAGGACCTCGGGATGATGGTCACCGATGGTTAGGGACAGAGTGATCTGGCTGGATGTCGTAAACAGTGGCGTTCGTGCATCTTCTCTATTTGATTGGAACCTTGGACCACTGAAATTCTTCATTTTCTTTCGACTCTACTTTCAACTTTCCTGTCTTTCTTCTCCTGTTCATCCAAATGGGCAGCCATAAGACAGCAACCAAAACGGCGCACGAATTTGAATGGGTAATGGTTGTACAAACTGCGCTGAACTGATCTCTTTGTTGGTTTGGAATCAGGGTTTTTGGCCAACTTTCCTTGTTGAACTATCAGTGATGTACCAAGGCGGATGTATGTTTTTCGCCTTGTCGCCACAAAAGGCAGCGAGTAGGGCTTTCTCAGCAGAGGCTGATTGAGACCCTTGATCCTGTAAGTGTATTTCGCGAGTTGCAAGGGAGGACTGACCATTCGAAACCCATTCACGTTCATACTGAGGCTTTCTCCAGAACGGAAGTCCCCGCTGAACGGTTTCTAGGTAGACGAATGCGGCCAGTTCTCTAGCCGCGATTCCGAGCGAGCAAGATAATANTTGACGTGGTTCGACCAGGTGATCTTACGGTTGAAAATAACAGCAAGATATTTAACAGACGGTTGTCGGTCCATATATTCATTTAAAATAGATAAATGAGTGATAGTATTTGGCAGTTAACCATTTTTTTACCTTTCAAATGGGGAAATCTTACGTCATCACATTTTCTGGGGGATCATAGGGAGGTTTCTCTCATGAGACCATTTCACTATGTCTGTCGTATCATCTTGTAGGGTGGTCTGAAACTATGGTTTAGGGTATGTATTATATGTATTAGTACATGTATTATATCGTCTGCGTACTTAACAATGAGAGAAAAATATCTCACAGTTATAGAGGAAATGTAAAAGGAACATAGAAAAAGGGATAAAATAGTGCCTTGCAATACGACTTGTGAGGAGGGCAGCAGTAAAGATATACGGTCTTTGTAGTGTGTGAACCGCTAACGGTCGGAAAAATAGTTGGTCAAGAGTTCAATCTTACGAGATTTAACGCCGCCTCAACAGAGGGTGTTTAGCAATCTATGCCTATGAAGCGTGTTGATGGCGTCATTATAGTTTAGAAAACATGCTCCATTGGTGTCTTGGTCTCTAGTCTGGAATTCGCTTTCACATGACTTAGTTACCATAACGGTATACAAACGCTACCGACCAGACAGATGAGTTAGTTGTCTTTTGTCGAGTTCATCTAGCTACCTGTTGCCAATTCTAACAAGCCTCCCTCTTAGAATATACAAAGCAAAAATCGATTTTACTTGCAGGGTGCATCTGTTTTTTTGATTGCCTATAACTTTTACCATTCCAGTTAATTCACTTATAGTAAACCAAATTATTTGCTGGACAGTTAGTGTCATGTTTATTCAGTGTAGTGCAGAGACCGTTTTTACCGTCACTGTTTGCCTCAGATTTAAGCTTACCGGCTCTCATCTGTTGCGATTTTTCGCTCATATCTGATTTCAGAAGCAGTTACGAACTCCGGTGGAAAATCCTTTCCGCACAAAACATAATCCGATCGAATCCCGAGAATTGACCGTATCCTCCTCGATCGCCTCAGTTTTGGACGATCAAAAACTGTCCCCGGATTCCAAACCGAGGCAATCACATTCCAGTGTTGTACAGCGCCGACCCTCTGTTCTGTATGAGATGGCAATTATGCGACGTCACTTGGTCACCTCTCGAGAGCATACATCCACTAGAACTTCTTCGCAAACAATCACCACATCCACACTGGTGTCTCGTTCTGTGTCGCGCACAGGCACTACTGTTCCGAATGTCAATCGTTCGAACAAGAGCTCCACAGTTGCTGTTATGAAACGTTCGTTAACCACTGTTGGAAAACGGTCATCCAGGACATTAGCAGAGGCAAAATTATCTCGTCTGGACGATTTTCTCCTGAAGCGATGATTTTCGTCAAAGCATTTCTTACCGAAAACAGTTTTCTAATACACTATGTGCATTTTTCTTCAACTTTTTCATCTTCCAACTTCGTCCGATTGCATTTACATTTTTGCCCTTCCCACTTCCTCTTTTTAGTTTTACAGTTTGTGCGCAATTTTTTTCTTAATGCATGTAAATATACATTCACTTTGTCGAATCAATCACCCTTTTCGGCTGTTCGGCGAACTATTGCCGCATGTTAGGTTGGTGATCATGACTTTTGTGACTGTTGTCCCGAGAACATGGCGGGCCACTTTGTTATCTACGTGCTGTATGCACGAGGGTTTTCCGGTTAGTCTCAGTCGAAAAAATGCACATGAATTCAAACCAAGTGCTTGCCTCTCATGACGATCTGCAAAAGTTATGCCATCAACGTTGCTTGTAACACTGTGATCTGTGCGTTTTTTAACTAGCACTTGTTTTGTTGATCGTAAGGACTAGTTTCGCTGGGTTGTTCCGCTTCATTAGTGGCGGTTGCTCATACGAGCTGTACATGTGTGTATTTCCATGCTTGTACAGTATTCAGATTTATAGAGTCGAAGAGAGAAAAATCCCACCAGTCATTGGGATCATTTAGGGTATCTTTCGGTACGCATTTCCCATTCTTCCGACTTTACCGCGGTATGGATAAAACTTTGAAACCGACCACCCTGATCATTTCTGCGGACTGATCGAATTATTCCGAAGCAGTGATATTCACCTAAGTCAGTGATGATAACAACTCAAAAAACTGATATCGATCTTTTTTAGTACATGCTGTTGTGTGCCGGGGAAAGCCCGTAGTCACGAGTACCCGCTGTTCCTCATGGAAACGGTGGTGGTCCGATGATGATGTCACCGAATTATCGCTCCGGAGGACGTGTGTTCGAAGCCTTTTAATTGGCCACTTGTCCCTTCCTGAAAATTGTATCTATATGTATTCGATAAAAAGAATTGAAAAGAAAAATTAAAAATAACAACCTCTGACTTGGATTGGTGAACCACATGAGGCCCCACTAGTTTAGGCGTGGTATTGAGCCGGACAACAGTGAAACTGCCTACCACCAAAGTTAGTTGGCCGCGGCGGAGTTCGAATCCCGTGCCCTATAGCCCAAATTATGGAGATTTAAATCGCTTGACCATCACCTGTTGCGGGTTGTATGCCACATAAGCCACTCAGGACCTGTTTGCGAAATTTGTGAAATACTGTTTCTCAAGTTGACGATTTGTTGACGTTCTAACCCTCTGAAAAACGTAAATTAGAATCGTTGATGATTGGTTAAATGCGTTTTGAGCAGAAACCAGCACTAGTAAGCCATGATTTGAATCAGATTGATAAGCTGGGTTGTGTCGATGCAAATCGAAAGCTGCAAACACGGTTTTGCCAACTCACGTATTTTGGCTGGAATTACATACTGATGACCACCGAAACTGTGATTTCATTTTCTTCGCAAATTTTATCATGCGTTACAGCATTTTATAATCGAATCACTCGCTCGCATTTTCATTGTCTCTGGAATTACGTAATATATTAACAATTTGATGAGTATTCCAACATTGCGTCACTCGCTGCATTGAATGTTCTCTCACCAAATCGTTGACTACCTTCTGTTTATGTTCTGATCAATGGACAGTCCCTTCTTTGCTGACGATAATGGCCAAAAGTGGTTTAGCTTACGAAACGAGGTACAGTCACGGTGCTGCGAGGTCACCGATCTAGCGGTCTGGTTCAAGTTTTGGGGTCACTAGGTAATATGTGTAAATGTAATCTACCGATCAGTTTATTCTCGCATCAAACATCGGTTTTCAGTTCGTTTAAGCTAGATCCAATCTGCTGTACACTCGGGGCGACCTCTTGNCCTCTTGACCTTAATATCCTTGCTCTAGGATCTTCTTGCCTTCGTTGAAATCACCCCGACGCGGAGTTTTGAGAAGTCTGTTATCGGAGGATTTTTTCCTTTGTTACTTTGCGCTTTGTAGCAATAACTGCATTAGTTATCCGTCTTTTACTAAAAAAAATAGATCTCGACAACTTCATCCTGCAGCCAACACGGTTCTGTAAACGCATTAAACGGATATAGTCTTTGAATCATTTCGTCGTATTTGTGGTTTGTAAACTGGAGTCACTTTCTCCATTTGAACATTCATGGTTTATGTTTATCAGGTCTTTTTTTTGATTTCAGCTCTGCCGAACATGGCCAATGTTCTTCGACCGGTCGTCCGGAAGCCGAAACAAGACAACACATTGTGGTACATTTTTGGCGTGATAGAGGCATCAGTTCTCGGTGTTCTGTTTTGGTTGTTTTTTACGGGCGAAGTGGATCCGGTTTCCTTCAAACTAACTGCAGTGAAGGAAGTGCCTGCATCAGCAGTGCAGAATGCTCGTCTGTCCGATATCTCCCAAATTAATATCGGCCCACATTATGGAGCTGAAAGCATTGTTTACGTAAATGGTAAGAATCTGCCATATTTGTTTCGAACGGATTAAATTCTGTTTTGTTTTCTAGGCACTCTGTATACAGGTACAGCAGACGGGAAGATCTTACGAATAACGGACTCTAAAGTGCAGGTTGTGCATGATATGCGTAGTGCGGCTTGTGGTACGTAATCATTTTGTGCATGAAGAACTTCTTGCATTTCTGTAACTGCTCCCAATCAAACACTTCATCTTAATACCATCTTTGACCATCATTACACCTTACTTCTTTAGTTCCCCCTTGCGTACCTTTCTTTCTTTCTCATAGGCTCACTATCCTGTGGTCGCCCTTTGGGTATGCGTTTGTCCCAAGACCATAAGAGCATAGTGTTTGTGGATGCATTTCAAGGCATTTTCTCATTTTCTCTGGAAAATGGTTGGTAGTTTGTCCTTGTTTTCGTCAACTGTTTGCACCTAATTACAGAGAAGGTAGTAAAATTGTTTCCAGTTGGTGACGGATTTGAACCGGTGTTCTTGAATGACCTGGAGGTTCTTTCTAACGGAAATATTTTCGTATCAGAGACGAGTGTAAAGTACTCATTGGAGCAAATTTTGGGCGAACTCATGGAATCGAGACCAAATGGTAGGTAAGTTGGGTACCCTTCGCTTTCATACTTTTCGCCACTCCAAGTCCCACCGTGTTTAAATCGATGGCCCGTGAAATTTACATTGAAACAAAGCTAACAGGATAAACGAGAAAAGTAGGAGTTTTTAGAGGAAACGATAGTGGTATATAATTCCTCGACTCAAAATACCCAGAGGGTAAGAAATGTCTGATTCATCAACACGTCAGACAAAACCATCAACTAAAGCTAGCCTAAAGGGTTTTACTCATGGTCATGAGGTGCACGTTTTTTTCAGCCGTAGCACGACAGTGAAGTTATTTATTACTTACTGAAATTTCGTGAACACTGTCCTCATTTGAGTGATCAAAATAATACTCGGAGAATGTGGTTATCACTCCTAGCGCTTCTTATCACGGTCCTACTATCCCTATCTCTTTTCGAATTTAGATTGTTACTGGTCGATCCCACAAACGGCAGATGGAGGCTATTTGCTGATGGACTTCATTTTCCCAACGGTGTCCAATTACATCGTGATGGCAAATCTGTCCTAGTTGCCGAAACTACCCGAGCCCGAGTAGTTCGAATTCCTCTGGATGGCAGAAGTCCCAGCACTGTGTTTGTCGATGGTCTTCCTGGCTTTCCGGACAACATTCGTCTGAGTCCACGTGGTGGCTATTGGATTCCGGTGAGCAATGTTCGCAACGGTTCTCTGTTCTCTTGGGCAACAGAGTTTTCGTCCAATTGGCCGGTGATTCGACAGTTTGCACATAGAGTAAGTCCTTACGGTAGTGTATGTATCAAATTGTATACTCTTAAACGACTAACTGCCGTGTGAGGATAGGTTAACTTCGTGGCCTCGGACGCACGGCGATCCAGATATAAGTTAGCACAAACTTGGCTTTATATTACGGAGCTCGTCCTCAGGTTGCGGATAAGAGAACGGCCACCAATTCGCGGTTGGTCGTGAGGTTTGTGTAGGCTCACGAAGGAAACATCCGTTAATGATCAGCGGCTCGAGGGTTCATCTCTTGACAACTGTTCTCACCACAAAACACCACGTATATCAGACGTGGCGAGTGAGTGTTCTATTATTAACTGTGGCCACTGCATTTTACAGGGTTCCTTCTACCTGACAAGGTGATCCAAAAGAAGTCAACGCACGTTAAATACATAATTCAGTTAAAATGCAAACACATTCGAAATTCATGTGACTACAAGTGCCACTTACTTTTGTTTGTTTTTCTTCAAAACTTGATTGCCAGTATTCATTTGCAGCTGAGTGAGAGTACCCAGAATAAATCAATACATCTTATCCTGCTGAAATAGGATTCTTTTTCTGCTTGTAAAAAGTTTTGAAGTAATTTCCAAAATATGTTCGGCTTTTATCATATTGAACTATTTTTCCGAATATGTGGCAAATATTCACTGTTGTACACCTGGCTTGCACTATCCCGACCATCGCTACGAGACTGCACCTTGACGTAATGTGATGGCTTGCGCACCTCTGTGACACAGGATGGCTTTTGTCGAGCCAAAGATCTAATCATGCCTGGAAGGTCAATGGGTAAAGGCCAGACAAAGTC